TTAATTTAAGAACTGGCCTCTCCTGTGCTATGAGAACGTAAATGCAAGTTTCAATTAATATTTCCTTGCGGTTTTGCTACGAAACTTTGCATTATGAAACGCGAAAGATAATTACTAACCACATAGTTGTTTAGAAGTGGTCTTCAACATATACACCAGCGGTGATTACGAGAAATTACTCAAAAACGTGCTAACTGGCAACGCTACGTGGAAAAGGAAGAAAGCGAACGTGTCGAGTGCATTTGACTCGTGCTTCACGCGGCGGTAACGATGTATCGTCACCGCAACACTAACGACTGTCGCGTCACCACTCGTCTAATTGGAGACGACGCCGCGGGCGCCCGTGAACCAAAACAATGTGTTAATTTTTCGTTTCGCGCCTAAGAACTATATGGTGGAAACTGCTCGTGTTATGAGTAATAACATGAGGGCTAATAATCGTTCACCAGATGTCGCTAGTGTAGACGGAGTTGAAGTTTTTTGTTGCACTATGTCATACACATGTCGTTGTTGACATACTACATTATTCGAACCGAACGGTTTGCTACATTTATTTATTTATTTATTTAGAAAATCAACAGTTCTTATGTATATATAATGATAATAATTTATAAATGGTTATAACAGCCAATTATAGGTTTCCCTGTATAAATCTTAAATGGTATCCCCTACTCTTAATACATATGAAATAAAAATAAGACTTAACGAGGTGAAGCTAGTAAACTAAGACTAAGAGGTATGCGCACACACGATCATTTGTGATGCGTACAGCAAAGGAGTGTAATAAGTTGCCAGCATGTGTTTCCATCTGATTACAGACTTTTGTTAAGTCAGTGCGCTTCACCATCTTAGGCTACATCACCACTTACCATCAGGTGGGATAATTGAGAAGATGCGTTTTAAATAAAAGTTTAGCGGTATCTAAAGTATTATATAAATACACAAAAAATGCCTCAGTGGTTTGCTCCTTAATATATTTCACATTTGTAACTCTTTTTTTTTTAATTTTCTATTTTTAGGAATATCTCTAGTTTTGGTTTTCATTTTTAATCTAATTGTTATTAATATAAAATATGACGAATTTTACAAAAAGAAATATTAACCCTTATATTTTCCTAACAAACTAACTTCCCTACAATATAATATGTCAAATAATCACCTCATTCCTAAGTAGCGCCGCCCTGGTGGCAAAAATTCATTATATTATTATATTATATATCATAGCTAATTGGCATTGGTAACTGGTGTTAATGACCTATAAGCACATGTCCTCAATGGAGAACCAATTATGAACACGTTATCTTCCACGAGGACGAAGTTAAAAATTCTATTAGGGTCTTTGATTTATTGGACTAAGACTTGATTCTTGTCACTCATTAAGAAATACAATAGAGCATAGCTCTTCTAGGTTTAACATCGAATCAAATAACCTAACTACACCTAAGTCTTTTGCATCAAACGATTCGACCACGCAGTTATTTTTATGCCTTACAACGATTATTTGTTCAAGTTATCTGTACGAGAGCGACACTGAAAGTATTTAGAACTGGCCACTTGTAAACGATATGATAAAAAAGTAAGTTAAAATTTTGAAAATGGAACTCTTTGGAATTATTGTGTGTGTTTTATTAATTTGTCATTTGTTTACGATTTGGCGGCAAATTGAAAGTTGTCTGTGTCACGTCAGCATGAATTTAACGCGAGAAAATTTTCGTACAATGATTTTTTATTACTTTTGATGACATTTAAGTCAGTTTAAATGTGGTCGCACTAATGTCACCGATGATCTGCATGAAGGACGGCGTTCTACGACGACGACTGAAGATAACATCAGTGTTGTGCGGCGTATGATAGAGACTAACAAAAGAGTGACTTATCAGCAGAATCGGACAAGCTTAGGAATCGGTATGAGTCAAGTGCATTAAATCCTCCATAAACATTTAGCGGTCAGGAAGCTTTGTGCGCGGTGGATACCTCATAATTTGACAGAGGCCCAAAAACTCCGTCGTGTTGATTGGTATCGTGAAATGGTTCAAAGATTTAACGGAGGTGACTCAAATGCTGTGTTCGACATACTTACGGGTGACGAAAGCTGGATTTATTGTTATGATCCTGAAACTAAGAGATAGTCTGCTGTTTGGGTGTTTCCTTCTGAGGAGTTGCCAACTAAAGTGAAGAGAGGTTGAAGAGTGGGAAAAAAGATCGTGGCTTCGTTCTTCGGAAGGACAGGTCATTACACAACAATTGTTTGCAACTTGTCTTGGAAAAAGTTCGGGATAAACGACCTTGGAGTAGGATCCTCCTTCACCACGACAACGCCTCGTTGCACACCGCCAAGCAAACAATCGACTACTTGGCGACCTCAGACGTGGAATTACTGGTTTACCCGCCTTATAGCCCCGTCCTCGCTATGATTATGCTATTTTTATTTATTTCCGAAAATAAAAGAAAAACTTCGAAGAAACGTTTTATGGACGCCGACGAAGCAGTATGTGCGTTTCAAAATGCCGTCGAAGGACGAGTGGGCAAAGTGCTTTTCTCAGTGGTTGCATCGGATGCAGCGATGTCTTGACGTTAATGGACACTATTTTGAAAAGATATAATAAAACTAATAACTTGCTAGTTTGTTCACTTTTTAATTTTCTTAGAACTTTTATTGTTATCTTCGTAGTTAAGGCATTTTTAAATGTGAGAAATTAGATGAAGCTATAGCTAATTTCCCACATTTAAAACTTAAAAACAACATTGCCCCCACACTAGGATTTTCTCCTGTATCGCAGGGACAGTTTACATACATAGTTAAGACCCATTACAATTATTTGAAGGCCATACAAATACTTGTTTCGTCCGGGATTAGAACCCGCGGTCCTTAGTGCTGCAACTCATTACACTAAGCCATTGCGCCTCGGAGCTGTCACTTGACTGTTTCATATTTTTTGCTATTTACAAACATGCGACACGCGACTTAATTATTAATGAAAGAGCGGCAATGAGAAGTGCTATAGCTCCATCTAATTTCCCTAAATGTAAACAAACATTTATAAATTATTTTTGAATTAATCAAAAATGTATACATTTATAAATCATTTTTGAGACCTCTGGGAAACATGTTTACCCTCACCGAGCATGTGGCAAATCAGCACTTAGTTTAACTGTTGTTTGGCGGTGCATTGAACTCGGATTACTCGTTTTCAATGAAATCGCTTAACACCTGAGAGAAATTGCTCACAGTTTATTATTAGTAAGAATAAACTGTGTACGTATTACGATACAACGCAAAAAGATTCTAGGGTCTAATATTCATTGTACTTATTTCTATAATTGATTCTTTATAGTATTGAAAATGGACCAAATATAGAGTACTCTTAACCGACGATAATATTTGCGTGGATGGATGTGAAGGAGGTGTGTAAAGATCATGCCAAATGGAAATCCGTAGTCTCTGCCTGCCTCTATGTGGCAGGCGTGAGTATTTTGTCAATTAATACTTCTTTTTTATCGAGGCGTGATTGAAATTTTTTATCTTATCGTCTCACTTTGCAGGTAGATTTTAACTACGTTCCTTATCATTATAACAGTAATAATTATTAATATATATTATTATTATTATTATTATTATAACTTAATATATTATTATTATTATAACAGTAATAATCAATGCCACTACCGAACATACTCCTAGCCTATGTGGGGAGTCGCCCTACACTTCTACTACCGGTACGAGGCTACTAGTAGCGAACCTTTTTTCCCCATCGGTTGTCCGTTCTTCGAGCTAATCTATATTCTATATTCAACTTACTAATCTCTTGGGCTATGTCGGTCACTCTGGTTCTACTGAGGATATCCTCATTTCTAAGTTTATCACGCAAAGAAACCCCGAGCATAGCCCTCTCTATAGCTCGCTGAGCTGCCTTGAGCGTCCTCATACGGCCAGCAGTGAAGGAGTACGTCTCAGATCCATAAGTCATCACTGGCAACACGCACTGGTTGTACAATCTCGTGTTCAGGTTTTGAGGTATACCTGACGAAAAGATGTGTTGTAATTTTCCGAACGCTGCCCAGCCTAGTTGAATCCGTCGATTGACCGAGAGGTCGAAGTTGGACTTATCGTCATATTCGTCAACAACTTCGAGCTTAGTGCTTATTAGTGCTCCCAATAACTACCGGCATCGGTTTAAGGTGCTGGAGAGCCATTCTAATCTCGCTTAGACTGACGTCCCTATAGATTGCCCTATTATGGGAATTTGTCATAGTTGCCTCCGTTGTTGCGGATGCCCCTTGGAAGGCGGGTTGACAACCGCAGTTTTTCTGTGATTTTAAGTTCTTATCCTAAAATCACAGAAAGGTGCTGCTGCTTAGCTACCATTTCAGTTTCCATCTGTCGCCTTTTACGACACCTAAGGGTTGATATGGGGTGAATCACGGCGTGGGTATAAACCTATTTTAATATAGTACTACTTATTTAATATTTTTAGTTTAAGCAAGGTAATGTGGGTAGATAATAAACGAATGAAAATGGCTTGGGCGTCGATAGAGGTGACTATGCCAAAAAAGATTTCACCGCCTCCGATGGTTGAACGTCCATCTTTTATGCTAGATTTTACGTGGTAGAGCCACGTTGCAGCTATATAGCACGAATGGGTCGGCTCTACCGGGGTAGGACCACGCTCTTAGAGAATACCACCGAAAAATAGCAGCTTAATGCTGCTGTGTTTCGTGTTATAAGTGTGGAGAACCGGAGAGCCTTTTTACTGGAAACGAGACATTCCATCTTAGTCCTCAGGGGTGACAAAACATCTGCATTTTGATTCTTAATTGAGGATAAATGTAGATGTCTATGGGCCACAACACCATCCGCTTACCATCAGGTGGACTGTGTGCTCGTTTGTCACTCTTATTCTATTAAAAAAAAGATGTAAAAAGAAAAAGCAGTGGATTATTACGGACTGATAAAACAGAAAGCAGACACTGTATTAAGTGAATTCTTTTTCTTTTTACAGTTACATAAAGACTTCTTCGGAAGAATAGTACCAACGGCGCAGGCACATCGACAAGGTAAGGACAAATCATGTTGTATAAGAAATACTTGTAAGAGATTACGAGCACACAGCGAGTTTTCAATATTCTATAAAAAAATATGCTGGTATTCTATGGGTGCTGTAATACAAAGAGTTCCTACAGCGTGCTATAGGTGTTTATTATCTGAAGATGTTTTTTTTTTATAGCAGAGGGGGCAAACGAGCATGCGCCTCACCTGATGGTAAGTGACTACCGCCGCCCACGAACAACCGCAACATCAGGGGAATTGCAGAAGCGTTGCCGGCCTTTTAAAAAGGAGTAGGCTCTTTTCTTGAAGGTCCCTAAGTCGTATCGGTCCGGAAAAATCGCCGGTGGTAAACTATTCCACAAGGAAGTTGTGCGAGGAAGAAAACATCTTCTAAATCGCACAGTGGTGGACCGCCAATCATGCAAATGGTGTGGATGGTATCGGGAGTTCTGCCGTGATGTGCATTCGTGAAATTTGGCAGGTGGGATTAATCCGAACAATTCCTCAGAGCACTCCCCGTGGTAAATGCGAAAGAAAATGCAAAGAGATGCAACATCTCTTCGCAGCGCCAATGAGTCGAGCCGATCAGAAAGGACTCGGTCGTCGACGATTTGAACCGCTCTGCGCTGGATGCGGTCAAGTGGAAGGAGCTGGCACTGGGGAGCCCCAACCCAGAGATGGGAACAGTATTCCATGTGAGGCCGAACCTGCGCCTTGTAAAGTTGCAGGCATTGAGCCGGCATGAAATACTGTCCCGCTCTGCTGTGCACGCCAAGCTTTTTAGAGGCCAATTTGGCCTTCTCTTCCAAGTAACCACGAAACTGCACGTCATTAGATATTCCGAGGATTCCGATACTGGCTGAGGCAACAAGGGGAGTACTTTGAAACTGAGGAGATACGACAAAGGGGTTCTTTTTAGCGGTAAACGCGCAAACTTGTGTCTTCTGAGGATTAAACTGGACTAGATTTAGTCGCCCCCAAGACTCGACTTCAGACACAAGTTTGTTCCGGTACTCGGTGACCTTTTCCCGAGAAATATTGGCACGGCCGGTGTATAGAGCATCACCAGTGCTGTCATCCGCATAGCAATGAATGCTACCGGCTTGCAACATATCATTGATATGCAGAAGAAACAGCGTTGGCGATAGCACGCAGCCTTGTGGAACACCAGCGTTAATAGGTTTGTAGTCGGAGCATGCACCGTCTACAACGACCTTGATGCTCCGATCTGCAAGAAAGCTGGTGATCCAATTGCATAATTTCTCGAGAAGTCCATAGGAAGGTAGCTTCGAAAGAAGCGCTTTGTGCCAAACCCGATCGAAGGCCTTCGCAATGTCCAAACTAACGGCCAATGCCTCCCCCTTGGACTCTACTGCCTCCTCCCATCTATGAGTTAAGTAGTCCAGAAGATCACCAGCTGATCGACCCCGACGAAAACCGTACTGGCGGTCACTAATCAGCTGGTGATCCTCAAGGTACCGCATGAGGTGGCAGTTTATAACGGATTACATTATTTTGGAGAACAAGTGGGTGATGGCGATAGGCCTGTAGTTGGACGGATCTGAGCGGTCGCCTTTTTTAGGGATCGGGTGGACAAAAGCAATTCAGTTTCATTATAATAAATTTATAACTTTTTAACATAAAAGATAAACTGCTGGTTCATTATGTAAAGTGAAAGAGTATAATTTTATTTGTTTCCTACCGACTTCAAAAAGGAGGAGGTACTCAATTCGACTGTATGTTTTTTATGTGTGTTACCTCATAACCATTTTTAGGTGAACCGATTTCGATGATTTTTTTATTTGAAAGCTGGTGCTTCTCATGTGGTCCCATATAAATTTGATCAAGGTCTGACCAATAGTTTTTGAGTTATCCTTAATAATTTATATTGAAGTCGGTGGTACAAAATTTTTAATTATACATCTTGTTAATTATCGGCATTTCCACGATCCATTAAAAAAAATTAAAGGGGATCAAATCCTTAAAACTAGTTTTATTCAATACTAACGATCCGCCTCGGGTTATTCGCACGGGTCATTTCTGGATCTCGAAAACAGCGCCACCTACCTAATTGGACCCAATTGTGAATCGTTTAGATCAGTCAGGGACCCACCTCCCCAATCGGTACAGCAACTTTCGAGTTTTTTCGAGACTAACGGACAGCACTTGATTTTTATATATAGAGATGTAGTATTTGCGTAAATATAAGAGTTCAGCTCATTTAAATTCAAAAACTAACGTTTAGGTAATCATCTCCATCGTCATCGACTTCTCACATTTCTAACCAGGTCAGATGTTAAGATATTTAAATATTAGTAGTAGTAATAAATTAATTTTGTAATTATTGCTCGTAATAAATGTATAATTTATACATCCCCTTCCCACAGTTCCAGAATATAAGGCTAAAACAATTTCATTCCCAACGATCACGACGTCGCCCGACCATTATCACATAACGTTAATCACACGTCGAGTTAGCAGCGAGCCTATTATTTTCAATTACGAGCTCGCGCCGCCAGGAAGGGTTGTTAATATTCATTCCCCGAGAATCGAACACCTGATCCCTGCCCTCCCCGCATCCCGCCCGCCCGATTGTCTACCGTTTTGGTATTAATCGCATATAATTTGGTAGCGAATGAGAAATTTTAATAGACGCTGAGAGAATTGTGTTTGACGACATTAGGTGCGGCATACACTTGTGACATTTTTGGAACATTAACAAGCCAACATTTGCCAAAACATTATATCAAGTAGTTATAGTGTATGTTACTATTTGATAAGTATGTAGACTAGGAAATACCTATTCACTCTAGCATTGAAAAATCCTAAATTGGCGTGCTCCGGGAGGACGAGATAGTTGTAGGTAAAGATTTCCAATCGCACACTGTGCGCACTAGATGTCATGATGCTAAATGGTTAATACACGTGTGAGTCACGTGTCCCGTCAACATTGTAAAGATGAAATCCAATTGAAATCGAATTATTCGTTGGCAAAATGGGTATGGAAAACAACTAGAGAGTACAACTCTTGCGCATTCTGTCATCATTTTAACATACTTTCATTAGCTTCGTATGTATCCATCTATCTATGTAAAGGAATGTTTTAATGCAATTTTCGCTTCGCTTTCGCAAACTTCTAGACGGCCGATTGACTTGATTTGCGCTAGTCAAGGAATTGATACACGATTCAATAAAAATATATTTTTTATTGAATAAACCAGAGATACAGTGTTTATAGAGCGAAGTCTGAGAACAGATTTACAATAAAAACTTAACTTAACTTATATATGGTTGGAAACAACTGGGAACAAAATTTATTCTCATGAACGTCAGCATAATTTGTTCCAGAGAATCTTATTATGTATTTTGCAATATTCAATATAATTTCTAAAGTTAGTTTGAAACAAAGAGTGTCGTATAACTTATTCTCACGGATGTCAGCATAATTTGTTCTAGAACATTTCATTACCTATTTTGCAATATATTATACACATGTAAAGTAAATGCTGAATCAATCCCCTTCAACTTGTTGCTATGCTGTGCAATGTGCTGACAAAGCATACATATATATATCTACAGGTTGAGTATCCTTAACTCATTCGTATCAAGTACCGGTGACAATACAATAATTTAATAACTTTATCTTAGTATCCTGATCAGAATCACCAGGATAAAATAAAATCATTATCAGAAATATCACAGCTCATGATCAATCAGTTTTTTTTTAACTATTATATTTTTATTAACTGAAGTGACAAAGGAACTTACTATCCACCAGAAATTAAGTGGCCACTGCAGGCTATGGACACTTGAAGCTAATTTCAAACAAAGGCCACAGATGTATTGTAATCTCTGAGGACAAAGGTGGTATGCCTTACAGCCTGTCATTATATTCACTCCCTTTAGACCGAAACACAATATTCCAAGCGCTTCTATTTGGCAAAAATAGGTAAGAGGATGGTATATTTGACGGCTCCGTGGTGCAGTGGCTTAGCAATGAGTTGTTTCGCTGGGGCCTCGGATTCGAATGCCGCACGGAACAAGTATTTGTATGGCCTGCTAATAATTGTTCCGGGTCTGGAATTTGTCCTTGTGCAATTTATGTTTGTAAAATGCCTCCACGATACAGACGAAAATCCTGAAGGGGTAACGTTTTTTAAAAAAATGATAAAAAAACCTATTCTACTCGTAACTCGATGCACTCCTAGACAGAAAAGGAGTCCTACTTCCTAGTGAAACTTTATTACGAAATCTAGTCCCTAGTGTTCACGTCGAAGTTCATACGTTTGATATTGTTGAGCGCCACCATTAATGCCTGGTACATGGCAACACTCGTTACCACTGGCGACCTCTAGTATCGAGTAGCAGAACTAGGAGAGTCAAGGTCCTTCTAAAAATTTCCATGCAAGATCTATCGACACCTAGTCAATCGGGACCGGTATGTACTCGAACGTTGTAGATGTTTCTACAGTAGAAGATTCTGGAACTATCTGAGGCCCTATATAAGGCCGGTATAGACCGCGACCGGGGTCAGTGTTGTGTTGGCGATACAAGCGAATACTTCGAAGGGATACAACTGCGAACTAAAGTGATCAGTAGTACAATTGTGTTTTGTTATTAGTGTGGTTTTTAATTGTAATTAGTATTTTGTAATTGAAATGTCAATTTTGTTAATTAACAAGCTCGTAACAGTATTGTCAGTTCAGCCACCTGTTTGTCTGCTGGTAACACTGCACTTGCAATTTGTAGGCGCACTAGGATATCATGGTATTTGATATTTCATAAAGGTACATAAAGGTGTATAATTTAATAAAGCCAAAAACTATCTTGATATTACAATCGTAGTTTCATTGGTTATGGTGTGAATGCCTGTTCTTACTAATAACATGTTTCATATCTTATTTTGTTTTTGTTAGCCCATAAAAGTCCACTGCTGGCCATAGGGCTCTCCCGTTTTAGGTAGGATTTGCACAGTTAGGCGAATTAACGTTATCGCAGTGTTTGAAGT